CTAGAAGGAACATTGCGCCCCAAAATCACTCCCTGACTCTTCTAGCCATTGGTCCTTTCATGCTTGAAGGGTTAACTTCCCCTCCCAAACATTTCACAGTCCAATAATTCACTTGTGTGGATCATGACAAGCTATGGACAACATTGCAAAGTATGACTATTCCGGAACACTTATTTGTGCTCTTGAGGAATCTGTACATGGACCAAGAGGCAGTTGTTTGAACAGAACACTGGAACACTGGATGGTTTAAAATTAAGGAAGGTGTGCAACAGGGTTGTATTCTTTCACCATACTTATTCAACCTGTATGCTGAGCAAATAATCTGGGAAGCTGGGTTCTATGAAGAAAAACGTAGCATCAGGATTGGAGGAAGACTCATTAACAACCTGTGATATGCAGATGATACAACCTTGATCGCTGAAAGTGAAGAGGACTTGAAACATTTACTTATGAAGATCAAAGAGCACAGTCTTCGATATGGATTACATCTCAATGTCAAGAAAACAAAAATCCTCACCACTGGACCAATAAACAACATTCTTATCAACAGAGAAAAGATTGAAGTTGTCAAGGACTTCATTCTTCTTGGATCAACTATCAACACTCGCGGAAGCAGCAGTCAAGAGATCAGACGATGTATTGCACTGGGCAAATCTGCTGCACAGGAACTTTATTTAAAGTATTGAAGAACAGAGATGTCAGCTTGAGGACTAAGGTGCACCTGACCCAAGCCATGGTATTTTCAACAACCTCATATATATGCGAAAGCTGGACAGTGAATAAGGAAGATCATAGAAGAATTGATGCTTTTGAGCATCATAATGTTGGAGGAGAATATTGAAAGTGCCACGGGCTGCCAAAAGAACCAACAGATCTGTGTTGGAAGAAGTGCAGTCAGAGTGCCCCTTGGAGGCCAGAATGGCCAAACTTCGTCTCTCATACTTCAGACATATTTTCAGGAGGGACCAGTCGCTGGAGAAGGATACCATGTTTGGTAAGGTGGAGGATCAGAGAAGAAGAGGAAGACCCCCAGCGAGATGGATTGGCAAAGTGGCAGCATCAATGGGCTCAAGTGTGGCAACAGTAGTGAGGTTGGCTCAGGACCAAGCAATGTTTCGTTCTGTTGTGCATAGTGTCGCTATGAGTCGGTACTGACTCGATGGCACCTAACAACAACAATAACAATTCATTTCACTTTATCTTACTCACCATAGTGCTTAACATAAAGAAGTAAATGCCTCTATCACTGTTTCTAAAAGAAAGTTCTCTGAACCACTCTAAAGTTGTTAGATCATTTTAGTGAGTCAAAGACCACACATTGGTTTCTTCATTTTCTGAACCTATTTGGCTAAACCAAATTCACAGAGACAAGGTGGGGTTCTTCCATCAGAATTCTTCCTTCAGAAGATGATGCTTAGCAGACCAATCCCACTGTTTTACCTGATTACATACTTGATCACAATAGTTCATCTGTCTGAACTATTCAATTCCATTGAGTTTCTTCTTATAATCATGACTTTTTCTTTTAATTATCCTTTTCATCCAGATCATGGGTTTTATACACTTTAGCTAATGCCCCTGGATTATCTCATATTTATCATATTTTGTTAACTCTCTTGGCAGTAAATTGTCTTAGATCCAAAACACTAAATAAGGTTTGTTCTTTTTTGAAAGCAATATCTATTTTTGCAACTTCTTTGAAAACAGCATGGGACCATGCTTCTAATAACATAGAACCCTTTGTATGTAAATTTCAAAGCAAGTTTGAAGATGTTAATTAAATTTCAAGAATGTAGAACATCTGTTAAAATCACCCATGTTATTAAATAAAGTTGTGTGCTATGGAATCAGTTCTGACACAGCGAGCCTGTATAGGATTTCCAATGCTGTAAATCTTTACAGGAGCAGAAAGCCTCATTTTTCTCCAGCTGAACCGCTGGTTGCTTCAAGCTGCTAAACCTTGAGGTAAGCAGCCCAACTCGTAACCACTACGCTAGTGTTGTTGTTGTTAAGTGCTGTCAACTCAATTCCGACCCATAGCGACCCTGTATAGGGTTTCCAAGGAGCAGCTGGTGAGCTTGAACCACTGACTTCACAGTTCAAATGACTTTGCAGTCTGACGCATTAGCCCACAGTGCCACACCAGGCCTCCAACTACTATGCTAGTTGTTGTTCTTAAGTGCCGTCGAGTCGGTTCCGACCCACAGTAGAAGAGAGAAATCAGTGGGAATTGAGTCAGTGAACTGAGTCTATCTATGCAGCAGCAACTTGAGTACCACTGAAAAGCGATTCTGAATCTTGCTACTGCCTGCTGAGGAGTGGGTTCCGCCTTTTATGCAAAGCAGAAAGCCTCTGGTGGATTCAAACTGCTGATCTTGCACTTAGCAGCCCAGGGCATAACCCACTACACTACCAGGGCTCCTTGTTCTCCACCTTGCAGCTTCATAAACAGCATTCCACACACCTTGTAATCCAGACTACTGTTATGGCACGGCGCAGCGAAAGAGACTCACTCAGTCCCAGATCTCAGGAGAGCAAGTTTATTGCAGGTGGACAGAGTGTCAGCTATTGTTTAAACCACTCTGACCCCCAGTGCCTGAAAAAGTGAGACTTATATACAGGTTGGTTACATATGAGTGCATACGCAGGAGTTGTTAGCTGTGGGGTGAAAAATTTTCAGCTAAATGCTCTTTCTGTTATCCAATTTTGCAAGGTTTGTTTCAACTTTGTGGTTTTCCTGTTATACGCAGAGTGGCTAGGGGGATACATGCTGTTTTTTGTCTAAGGGGGTGAGGGGCAGGGCAGGAGGGTCCCAGGTCTGCTACACTACTATCTGAATTGGAACTGAATTGGACCTATTCCAGTGGCTACCATATATTATTTTGATAATAACCCTGCTGATACTATATTTAACGAGCCCTGGTTGCTTTAGTATAAACACTGAACTGCTAACCACAAGCTTGGCAGTTCAAACCCACCAGATACTCTATGAGAAAAAGATGAGGTTTCCTTATACACGGTCGCTTTGAGTTGGAAAAGCCTCAGTGGTGGTGGGTTTTATTTTGTTTTGATATTATATTTATTTTATTCTAGAATTTACCACATCCTTGATATTCCAAAAATTATTTTTTTAAAATACATCACTTTGAAATTTATTTTCCATTTTTGTGTTCAGAAATATCCAAGTGATAAAGTAAGATACTTAAGAGCTGAAATGCAGATTTTTGTTCTTGTTGGTTTGTTTGTTGTAAACACTTCTCACCTGTGTTGTCTATTGTTACAATCTTGTGTTAAAATCAGACAGGGGGTTAAACAGTTGGCACACTATATGAGTTTAATTTTGCGTTCCAGGACACATCTTGTTATTGTTGGGTGCCATGGGGTCATCGCGACCCCCAGACGACCTCATGTCTTTATGAGATGCTGCAAACAGCCTTCCTGGAGACAGCAAGTCTCTACTTGATTGACTGAAAACTCTTCATTGTGTTTGCAAACACTAAGCTGCTGATCACTTTGGTAATTTTTGAAATTCCAAAAGAAACCTTGTATTTGGAGGAAAAAAAAAAAAGGCCACACGCCGGCTTGTGGGAAATCCTTGCTGACCTGGGCAGGAACTGCTGCCAGAAGACATTTGGGTACAAGCAGCCTCCTCGGTCCTACAGTTCCCACTCCTTTTGATGTTGCTAGGTGTCTTGGACTTAGCATGGCTTCTGAGGCTGTAAATCTGTGGGAGCAGATACCCTCATCTTCTACGAAAAGTGGGCTCAAACTGCTAACCTTGTGGTTCGCAGTCCAGTGCTTATCCTACAGGGCCACCGGCTCCCTTCTCCTTTCATTACAAAGTCCTTTCGAACTACTTGATGCTTCATTTATTCGCCCTGGTCTCTTTAGGAAGAGTAGTGAATAATTTTCTTTTTATAAGCTAGTTCAGGCGTTTCCAAGGCATCCCTCTGAGTCTTGGTGGCTACCGCGTTCACCACTCCTTCACTGGTATCTAACTGTAGCAAGACTCCAAGCCACCTTCTGGTACTGGTTAAAGATACCAAACAATAACCGTACATATAAATGAAAGGAATTGGCAAGGAAACCCTGACGGAGTAGGGCGGCTTCTACAAGCAAATTTGAGGGGGAGAAGTTTCCTTTGTCAAGCAAGTGACCACGAGGCACTATGGCGACCACTCCAAGAATAAACCTGTAAAAACCCTCTCAAAGCTCTGAGCCCGGGATCTGGCGCGCGTCACCCACCTCCGGAGCCAGCGGTGGGAGGACACGAAAAAATGGTTCGCTGCAGAAACCCCGAGCCGGGAGCCTACAGAGGTCCCCATAGCGGGAAGTGGGGAGCGGGAAAGGGAGGTTGCAGCGGCTGGAGGAGGCGGAGAGCCGGGAGTAGGTCACTAGGGGTAGTCGGGGAGGAGCGAGGGCCGGGGAGTAGGGTTGAGAGGAGAGGAGGAGAAGGAGGATCTAGGGGAGAGGCGGGCCAGGAGGCGGGGAGATCCGGAGAAAGAGGGGCGGAGACAGAGGAGGTGGGGAGAGAGGAGGGGAGGCAGGGGGTCTAGAGGAGAGGCGGGCCGGGAGGCGGGGAGATCGGGAAAGAGAG